GAGAAAAAGTAATGGGACAGTTGCAAATATTAACTGTGAATGCTTATTTTTGTTGTGGCGTACCTCCGTCTGTCCACTGGGGTGTTGTATCCCTCCCAGTACCAAGTTGGTCATTACAGACATGATAGAACCTGCCCTTTTCCTGAATAATCTGAAGCGTCGATGGGAGTGTAAAACTTCTACAATTACAACGATGCAATTAACAAATTACAATCATTTGAAACCTTTGAGGTACTCGAATTGTTGTACTTCATACGTAATTTGCCAGTGTTACCCACTTTTCCCCTGCTAAGTATAATAAGAAAGTTTTTATCTAATTTCACATTTCCTTCACCTAATTTTTCTTCTTCTGTTCCTTCTTTTTTAATGGGAGGTTGGCGGGTGCTCTGGTGTGGTTTGCTTCTTTTTTCCTATCAAACACATAGATCGATCGTCCTTATTTACCCTCATTCTTTTTTATGTTTGTTACTCTCTTGTAACACCTCTAATCTTCGGGTGCCTATATGACTTTATGCAGTTGCGAGCGCCGAAAAACCTCTACTGGAACTTTAAAAAACTTACTTTATGCTTAATGACCAATATTGTGTGGATGTGTTTCTCTTTTATCAAATTATTTCTTTTTGTATTCCTTCATTCCATCGAGATCAGATGGCGCAACAAGAAGCAGTAAGCACGGGTCGTAACGTGCTCGTGTTTCTCTTCAAGGAAGACATCCCTGCCCGAGAACTGGACCGCCATGTACTGTCGTACATACGGACCAACACCTACATCGCCTACCCGAGAGACAGGCGTCACTACAAGGCTTTCTGGGATAAGTTAGCGCAGGACCTCAGGAGCACGTGATCTGCTTGTCTGTCTGTCTGTCTGTCTGTCTATCTGTCTGTCTGTCTCTGTTTTTGTATGTGTAAAGAGAAGGAAATACATAAGCACAATAACAACCAGTCTGACAGAAACAGCAGTGGGAGCCCACGATCTGTTCGTTTGAATAAGAAAAAAGAACGCTGACACAACAGTCATTTAGTACAGAGAAATAGTAAGACAGCCAGACAGAAACAGCAAAGAGAATGGAAATGAAACAGGAACTAACAGTGGTGTGCGCCCTCAACCCACACACTTGTGATCTGCTCCGAATCTACAGTTCAGCCTATAACATATCATATGCACAAACATAGATATGGGGTACATTTTAAATTTACTTTCAGCAGTATACATTTTTATCCCGTGTTCTGATTTGCTGTGTCAAAGTGTACTGTATACACATCATCTAAAAACATTTTCCTTTGATGATGATGATGATGATGATGATGATGATGATGATGATGATGATGATGATGAGGATGATGATGATGATGATGAGGATGATGAGGATGATGATGATGATGATGATAATGATGACAACAAACATCGTAGTACACCACACTGAAAAAAAAGCCTTTCTTTGTAACCTCATACTATCAAAAGCTATTTAACGTTTAAGACATCCACGACCCAATACCAAAGCATTTTAGAAAAATACAACAAAATGATAGAGTCTCCTTTAATTGCTCCTCGCCACCATCTTGGTAACCTATTTAGGCGTTCTAAGGCGACACCTTTTTCATCCCCACAAAACAACCTTTTGCAAACCCTGAAGAATCACTCAGGCAACAAACCCAGGTACAAGATGTAAAACTTGCCCTTACAAGACAGTAATCAACTACATAAAAGGTCACCTTTAAAAAATTCTTTCAAGCAACATCGACTGTAAAAACAAATCCAAGAAAATCCCCCCCCAAACCCCCCCCCCAAAAAAAAACAACAACAACAAACAAAAGCACAACCCCCCCCCCCCAAGCAAACAAACAAAACAACGACCCCTAAACCTGCGTCTTCTACCTTGGAATATAGAACTTGGGCTCACAGCAAACGCTCTCAGGTTTTCAAATCGACGAACACTGTTTAAAAAAACTAAAATGTACAATTAAGTTACTTAGCCACCACCCTTCTTCCCCCGCTCCCTTACACTCACCCCACCCTCTCTTTAAAAAAAAGAATCCACACCCCCACTCTTTTTCCGTTACAACATAACTCTCCCCATTTAACTACCCATTTCACAACCGTGATAGTAGAGTCTCCCCCACTTCTCTTTTATGTCCATCTACGCCTCTTTCTTCTCCTTTCACGCCTCAGTACACCCCTGATTTTCCCCGCTTGACAGCCCCCCCCCCCTCCTTCCCCCGTCCTTTTGTGTGAATTAATTAATATATGTGAGTCAGCGTGGTAGAATCAGGCTCTCGTCAAAATAATCAAAGTGAAGTAACTTGCATTTTTCCGCAGGTTTGTGAATATTTATCAAATTTTTGTTTTTTGGCTCAACAGCTTTTATGCCATTAAAAAGAATAATTTCTGCGTGGAATTTTCTGAAAAACGTTGGTCAAAGGCACAAAAAAACGTAAATTTTTAGTTACCACGGACTCTTAAGCTAAGGAAATAACTACTTTTTGGCGGCCATTTTCTCAATAATTTTACCTCTGAAAACAGGTGACCCCAACCACCTCCTTCCTTTGCAAATATCTCGACTTGTATTCAAGATATATGGATATTTTGTCATCCCAAAAAAGACAAATGAACAATCTTTAAGATGTTACCAAAACTCTATGTGCTCAAAAATTGACGAGAGCCTGATTCCACCACGCTGCCTCACATATTATATTATATGCTTTTTAACTATGAGATTGTTCGCCTTCACCGCCTTTCCTGCACTCTTCACCTGTGGAAACTTTTATACCAAGTGAAGATCCCTCTTCCTCTCCATCCCCATTGATTTCCTTGCTTCATTTCACCTATCTTTAGGACAAACAAACACAAGTACACACACAAACACACACACAATACAATACACGCGTGCACACAATTACACACACACACACACACACACACACACACACACACACACACACTTACACACAGACATTCGCGCACACGCAAACGCACACGCACACGCTCACAACCACACACGTACGCTTACACACAGAGACCACACATACACTGTCACACACAATCATAGGCACGCTCATTCAAACATAAGCACGTATACGCTTGCACACATACACAAATACACGCACGCACGCGCGCACACACACACACACACACACACACACACACACACATGCACACACACACGCGTATGTGCACACAACCGTAGGCACACACATACCACCATAAGCACGCACACGCACACATACACACAAACACACACACATACACACAAACACACATACAAACACACAAACACATATACACACATACACACAAACACACATACAAACACAAACAGACATACACACATACATACACACATACATACATACACACATACGCACACACAAACACACACATACACACACATTCACACATATACACGCATACACAAACATATACACAAACACACACACATACACAGACACACACAGACACACACATACACACTCAAACACACATACACACAGACATATACGCACAAACACACATACACACGCATACATACACACACATGCGCGCGTGCAGACATACACCTTTGTATAATATTTATATTGTGTATATATGGGCCTAATAAATGGAATATATACATATGTGTTATGATACAACTTTTACTATTTTGCTTTGTATCTTACCCCCCCCCCCCACCCCCTTTCCAAAAGACACACACCCATCTTTCTGTGTTTTGCTCTCTGTCTGTCAGTCTGTCTGTCTGTCTGTCTGTCTTATTCTCTGTCTGTCTGTATGTCTGTCTGTCTGTCTGTCTGTCTGTCTGTCTGTCTGTCTGTCTGTCTGTCTGTCTCCTTCTTCTTTTCTCTCCCATAACTTTCGTTAATGAGTCACACCTGGTACTTGTTTTTAGCTTCTAAGCTTGTTATTCCAAGAATAACAGGAGTAGGTCTATATATAGCACTGTAATTATTTGAATTATAGAATGTTGCGATGAAATGAAAGAAGTATTGTTTAAAATGGCACCCAGTATTGATTAGTTAAACTAAATACATAAGCAATTAAATCTATTGGAAGATAGATTAAACATGTCATCATAGCACAATGATAATAATCTTAACATTATTAGCTGTTGTGGGGGTCACTTTGCCCCTAAATCATCTTATCTCAAGACAAAGGGATGACTGCCCCAGCCTGTGACACACAACGATGAGGGAAATAGTTCAACTTGAGTTTGAAATGTAAATAACTGCCCTTTACGGCATTTACTTATATAGGTGTTTTATAATCAACCTAATGATGTGTTCCGATTTGACTCTTCACATTTTCTTTGTCACTCGTATAAAGGCCTCCAAGGTAATTCAATAACAAGTTTTAACTCACCAAAATCAGCCCCAAATCGATGGTAAATGTTGAGGAACATCAGTTCACAGCTTTTCAGGGCACGGAGGTCTTGAAAAATGAAGTATTTCATAGAAACATAATATCCTTGATAGGAGATTCATAATATCAGGGGAAGTAACTTATTAATAGTAGGCCTACTATTAATCATTCAACTTTTTCAGTCTGAATAAGGCAAAGTCATCCCTGTTGACCGGTACTCTCAGTCGTCCCAAAGAAGCCCTCGGGGCGAAACTCCCAGCTGTTGTCATAAATATTCTAATACCCAAGTCTCTGCCCTTATTTTTTTACTTTGATGATGATGCTGATGATAATGATGATGATGATGATGATGAAGATGATGATGATGATGGTGATGATGATGATGATGATTAACAATGTTGTAAATCGCTGGTGGAGTGAAGAAACCTCGCAACCTCAGAAAGGACAATTTTACAGGAGAGACAAAAAACTGATTTACTCGTGAACAAAATGATCTATATAAATCAAAGTTGGTACAGATAAATGAAAACACCTTAGAAACGTGGCTAGTGCAAAAAAATCACTTTTCTTTGATTTAAATGGTTATGCCGTGGGATGCGAGGTTTTATTACAACATTTTTGTCGTGATGAAACCTCGTAGTCAGCCGGCGGGAGGGTTGCGAGGTTTCATCAGGACAGAGTTTGAGGGTTGCGAGTTTTCTTGCAGTTCATTTGATTGCAGTATGCGTCTGTAGTTTGGAACGCGATAAAATGATGAAGATGTTTCTTCAAGACCAGTTAGTTTAGAGTTAGATTCACGACCAACTGAAGTCAAATAAAAATGTGTTATCTGCAGAATTTGGGTTTGAAACCTCAAACGGATCAGCGATTTGTGCAATCTGTTTCAATATTATCTTCCAGGATTAGATCTGGTTACTTCCATTTTACAAAAAAGCACAAATGAATAGTATATCTCTGCAATATGGTCTCTGGTTGTAATGCAGATGGCTTTCACAATGGTAAGAAATAGATCTAGATCAAAATATAGACATGTTTTTCAAAGTTTTAATGCGTCAGTCCATTACAAAATTTATTAAGAAAACAATGTAATACACACGCGCACACACACACACACACACACAAACACACACACACACACACACACACACAAAGAGAAACAACCTAACAACCCCATAATGAATAGCCATTAATGATGACGTGGTAAATTGTCATAAAGTGATGACGTATATTGAAAACAACAGATTCAAGCTCCTACGTACAGGTGATTGTACTTGGGAGTGCTGGATTCTAAGACGTTCTGTGTTCAGTGGTGTAGCAGGTTGGACCTCACGTTTCTGTGATCTGCCTTCGGAACGTCAGCCCATGCATTACTGAAGTGCAGCTTGAACTGGATATTCATGTCTGGGGTGTACTTCAAACACCTGATGTCGGTGACAATAGGATGACCCGTTTTCCTTCCTGGTCTGATTGACTTGTAGCTTCCTCACTTAGAATAATGTCTGGTTTTTCTCTGGCCATCCTGAAGAAATGGAGGTTGTGTAGGGGGACCTCGATTCGCGCTTTTGGAACTCATCTTTCAATAGTTGAGGGCACAGTCAACTTACATTTGAGTGTCCTTTGATGAACCATTTCTGTTCAATTGTGCTTCCATGTGTTGTTGCAAACAGGCTGAGAGAAACATTGGCTAGTGTGGCATTTCTGTATTGGTAACCACAGCAGTCGCTGTCGATGATGGTTTTCTGGAAGTACAGCTTTTCCTTCAAGACAGCCATTAGACATGAAGCAAACTTATTTGCTAATTCCCCATTCTGCTGCATGCCACACGTAACAAGTAGTCTGATGTGATGCAGCTTCAAATATCGTAAAATTATGAACGACACGCTTTGTTTTGTAATATAAGGCTGATGCATTCAGTTTGGGTGTAAGTGTAAGGAGCACAAGCTGAAGATCCATAGAAAACATGGACCGTTTTAGGTTCATCACTGGCGAGATATTTGATGGCTTCAGATTTGTTTCGTTCCTTTTCCTTGCACCCTGCTCCTTTTCTAGAATGTGAGCATTCCAAAAATCCTCCGAACGCTGCCAACTTCACGGATAATGCAAAGGTCGCACATATCTTTCTTTGGCGTGAACAGAAACAGGCTATTCAGCCTGTTTGTTTAATTGAGAGGGGAGGGGGGTCTGTTGAGAGGCTGCCTCTCGTGGTCTTGGCAGAATCGTGCATACATTTTGTAGATATCTGAGTTCCTTTGATAATTGTTTTTAAATGTTTCTTCTTACAAATTATTCACTCAACCCAGTTGAATGCAGGAACATCTTTTTACACACTGGCACCTTATGACCACCATTTTAAATGTGTATTTGAAGGTATGCCCCGTTTGGTTAGTTTCTGAATACATCCTCTGAGGTTGTTC